GAAAGACAGTTAAATCGTAGACTCTATGAAAAGGTTGGGATAGGTTTGAATATCCTCCCGCAAAGCAAACCTTGTCAAATGATGCCACACCAACAAACGAAAACAAGACAGAAATCAAAAGAAAAAAACAAAACTAAAACAGGAACAAATAGATTAAAGCAAATTAATATGTGAAAATTACCCCTTTTTTTTCCTTATCATCACTTTGTTTAAATATTCTTGACAAAAATGGTATTGTGCCTCACACGACAAGCGTTACCGGGTCGGAGATTGGTTATAGTAGGCAGACCCGCCTTCCCCCGGCTCTTTTCTTCCGAAAGGTGAATGGAGTCTGCTAAATTTCTGAGCCGTACATGTATATGTACGTGACTCACAGACTTGATAATGATTATTGTACTTAACCAGGTCGAGAGGGGGCATTATAGAACGGTTTAGGATTTCCACGCAATTCCCACGCAATATTTTCTGGTAAAAATGCTGTTTGTATATATACAGCCTGCTTAATTGAAAAATTCAATATCATTTTCCGTGATATTTCTGGGTCCGGTTAGGTACTGAAGAACATCGCGTGTTTCCTTGAAAATCTTATGTTTATCACGATATTGACAAGCATCATATACTTAAACCATTGACCCCAGCTATCTGACAATTTTTTTTGTTTTTAAATACAGTGACCTTTATTTACAGGGTTCACGTGTATTCCTGCTTTTTTTATTCATTTTTATTTTTTATAAAATCCTTAAAATCAAGTTTTAACTGTGCTTAGATGTTTTTAAAGTATCTGTTTGGTGGTTGTCATGTGTAAGAGGGTGGGTTTAAGGTAAGAAACTTGTTGGCACAAAAATGGAATTTTTCCAATTCTGTATACCTTTAGAGTGAATGTCGGAAGGACATTGACGTCACAAGCAACAATATAGTTGATTGATTGAGTAAGATTCAACTGTTAATCACTGTCAGTGTTAAGAAACTCCAGGTGGTGAGAGCTCTGTTTACTTACTCAGCTCCTTGAGAGAGAAAAAACTCGCCAGAAGAGAGCTAACTCTGCTTTTTATCTTCCCACCGAACATTTTTCAAAAGAACTGTTATGAGGCTGACCCATAAATGTGTTTTTCTTAAAGTCTGAAGAGCTATTGTCACGTTAACGATGACCGGCGGAAGCTGATAAAGAAAACGTCCCGTAAAGCTTTAATATAACCGGGTTGTATTTCCTGTTTTCATGTGATAAATTGATCCTTACACTATATCATAATTTGATTATTTTCAAAGACCAAACATATTTCACAAAAACTTAAACGACTACACATTGCAACGCAGAGGTTTTCTAAGACGTGATGGCGGAGGGACCGAGAACAGCACACATACCCACCTCTCGTGATTTATACAGGTGTCCAATTTTCAGGCAATACTCAACACAAGAATGGATTTTAGAGTACTGCCTAATGGTTATAACTGTGGGGTTTTTCATCCTGATTTCGCTATTGTTCAAGCTGTCGAAGCAATACCTGAGCACGTCAACAAATAAATTGGACTCTTCCTTTTTCCAGTCAAACTAAACGAGGAAGAAACGAAAAGTCAAGTGGTTCTCATCAAAATGCAAAAAAGATTGCAAACTGAAGAACAGTTTCCATAAAATTAATTTCGACTCAACTTGAACTTTGGAAACGTTTTGTAACAAGAGAAGAATGCAAGATGGGCAGAGGGTCGCGCAGTGAGCTAGAAGAACGCTGATTTGATGGGTCACATACATTGAATGGCTTTAACAACCTGCAAATGAGTCGGACGGCTGTGAAAAACATTGAACCTTGTTATGGATGTCCAGAGTACCGGTTAATTTTTCTTGCACTCTCTTTTGTTGGTTAGTCATCAACAGAGACGGACGGCAGTGAAAAGCAGGAACCCTTTTTAGTGGACAATTAAAAGAACAAGCTTATTTTAAAGTTTTCTGTACTTTTTTTGTGAGTAGTCATTACAAATTTTACTTCATATGACTGCAGCTAATTTCATTATATTTATTATTCGTGCATAGATTTTCGTCACTGGCAAAAAGGTCAAAATTCTAACAACTGTTGGCTGCGCCCAGGACACTGAAGAGTTATTTGATCTGACCCAACTGAATAATAGTCTTGCGGGCAGTAAGTAAATTTATTATAAATACATTAACCGTAGAAAACCACCGCAAAGAGGGGTGTCATTTCCCTAAATTTGTATAAAGCTCAAAAGTGTACAATTTTGCCGGATTGCAATAAAGATCGTGAGTTTATCGTCGATCATCCATAACTGTAACTTATCGAATTTCCCTGGTTGTTTATGCACGTCGTTAACCATGTTTGGTGATAAGTCCATAGTGGGGGACGTTTTTGCACAAGTGGTTAGAACTGAATCCTCACAACTAATAAAATATGGATGTGACAACATCTTGTTCCGGTCTGTGACATTTTCCCGTGACATTGTCAGTTCTCGAAATTATTCTTGCACAACACACTATCGAGGTCACAGATGACTTCCGCCAATTTCGTGTTTAAGAATGATTTTCCACGTATCTCATGCAATGAAAACGAAGGCACTTTTCACGTTAACAAACACTGCACCGTAAGTCCAAAATTTTTGTCTTCTGTGATTGCTGCTTTGACATAACGACCCTACCTAACGCAAAAGTTTGGTAGTTAGCTTGTTTATATCTGTTTTGTGGACACAAAATAATCGTCTTCAGGAAGATTAAGCAACTAGTACTTGATTGCTGAGAGGATACAAATTAAAAAAATTTAAAACGATAACAACAAAAAACGCACGCAGGAGTCGATGTATCTCTCGCAAAGCTGCCGCGAACGAATCGCGCAATCGATTCAAGTCAAAAGAACTAAACGCGTCTCTCGCTAGATGGCCAGTTGTGGAAGTCATCGCGATCGTGGCCAATCTACAAATATTAGATACCGAAAAAGGTGTTATGTGGATAATTTTTTGATATCCAACTAGATTACAGGGATGGGCACCACTTCAGTTCTCGCAACCATTTACACTTCTTTATAATCATGACCTGACATGATAAAGCAATGATTCCACTTGTGGGACTTCCTCTCTTTTACACTATATTCACGTTCAGATAAGTGATCTTCCTTGGTTTCTAGGGTAGATCCCTCAGCGAGTGACTTTAAACGGTTCGATGAGCTATCCATAATTATTCAAAAGTACACAATTTGATCGCGTGCTTCGACACAAGTTATTACCGGCCTAGTCTATCTGATCAAGACGTGCTTGTCACGCTAGAAATAGTGTTGTTGCCAAGATTTGAAAGCAATTTGCAACATGCACCTTCGTCAAGTTCGAACCTGGACTCCAGCTTACGATTTTATGATCAAAGTTCGAAATCGAACTGGGCATCTGTCAGTTTTTATCTAGGAGGAAAGTTCAACAGAGACGACGAATTCAACATCGAGCAAGGAACAAGCTATGTAACCTGAACATGTCCGCAACTCACACGCCACTAAATTGCGTTGTTGGGTATTAATTGGAATTAGTCTATGAAAGCATCCAATTTCCCTGTTGTTGTGTAGTGATAAGATACTTCGATGAAAAAAAGCAAGTAAATAAACCGATAAATTGTCATAGAAATACACTATGGAGAGAAATAATCGAACGTGTTTGTTTCGAAATCAACGTCACGTCTAATCCATTTCGACGTGCTCTGATTGGTCGAAAGACAATGGTTATGCGTCATCCCATGTCATGCTGAGACAGGGACCTATCAGATGTCGATTTACATACAATTCTCTTACGTAGACCGGTAAACAACCGTAAATAGTCTAGTAGAAAGTCACGTTTCCTAAGCATAAAAGCGTAAAGAGAAGGGTAAGCTCTGCCTTTTAGCCTCTCAGCCACCGAGATCAAGATCAACTGTTTTCGAAATCCCTAGTTCGTTAGCCTGCTGGATGAAAGACGACTTTTGAAGCTACCAAGTAAGTCTGATGCCAGATAAATTCTATGGCACAATTATTTCCTCGTTTCCTCCAAAAGAAAATGGGCCGAGTTATAAATGAATTCAAAGTAAGATCTAGCCTTAGGCAAAACATTTAAAGTTAATTTGCTTTATGTAACAAAAGACATTGGAACGTGATTTCCAAGGTGAAAATGGACTTTACATCATTTCGTGAATACCGGCTCACTCGCACAATGGCCGTAATATAATCGAATAGCACTGATTATTTTGAAAGGCCATTTCGCTATCGTTACTGAATTGCAGGTAATCATTCGCGTCATCCATGCTATCGATCCATTGAAACCAGTCAACCACAATGAAAAATCGGTCCTGATGGCTGAAGCAAACGTCGACGAAGTTCTCTCTTCGGTTGTTAATCAGTTCACCGGACCGTAGATTTTGACTCTTTAAATAATCGAAATGAAAGCTCTCAAACAAAGTGCTATCCCCAGTATATGTAACCAAGAAAAAAAAGAAAATTCAATCTAATGGACACGAACGGACACCCAAACATAGTGGCGGATGTAAACGTATATCCTGAGGTGTCCGTTCATAGATTTTTTTCGTATTTTAAATGGAGTTTTGTTCTTATGTTATTATATGGTTCAATTTTGCACTGAACAGATGTCTTCGCCTCTGAAAACCAACGACTCCAATGGAGTGAAAGTGCGATCGTATCAAAGCGCTGATTATAGGGATTGTCGAGAAATATTCACTCAGGGAATGGAGCAGTTGATCAAGCTTGTGGCACAGGTGGTCTTCCCCAGATACTGCTGGGTTATAGCAGCTTTAAGTGCCTTTGTTTTTCTCGCTGCTTTTAAATATTCCCTGTGGCTTGTTCCTCTTTACATCTTCGCTTGCTTCGTTGTGCTGTCGCTTTTGTATGTGCATGTTTATCTGGAGTGTTGGAAATACATTAACTCCTGTTTGGCAACAGATTTGAAGAAGATTGAAACGATTTACATGGCCAATGATGGATGCCACATGTGGGTGGCTGAGTGGAATGGTAAAGTTGTGGGAATGGTTGGACTCGTTCATAATGAGAGCCACAAGCCAGGAGTTGCTGAACTTCAGAGGATGTCTGTATCACCAGCCTGTAGAAGAATGGGAATCGCTGGGAAATTGCTCGATGAGCTACTAAAACATGCAAAAGAACAAAATTTCGAGAAGGTTGTTTTGACTACCACAAGTGCCCAGACACCAGCCATTCGACTTTACAAGAAATACGGCTTCAAGCTCATAGCATTATTTCCTTATCCTCAAAAGCTTCTGGCAGACCTGCAGTATTCTTCCTTCGACCTCAAACTGAATTATTAGAAGTCTTAATTAACCCTTCAACTCTCAAGATCTAAATATTAATTTCCTGCTTCTAGTCCAATTCTACAGTCTGGGGTTAAATCGAACAATATTCACATGTTACGATTTTTCTTCAACCTAACTTGTCTCTGCTTCAAAATGTAACGAAGTCGTATGTGATGGAATGTAACCTGTTGAGGTACTGCTCAAACACGAAACCGGATTTTACATTTCAAAACAATTCTCCTTATCCACTTCCTCGAACGTTAAGAGAGGCTGTCGAGAGCGTGCTCAAAATCGATGAGTACAATTTTTTTTTATTCAATCTCGAAACGATTTCATTTTGTATAATTTTCAATTGCAGGTTATGTAGCCCTAGGTTGCTTGAATGTACACATGCCGACGGATGGCATGGGTGATCAAATTTGACAAAATAAAATAAGAAAAGTTGTTATAACTTCAAAACCCATTCATTTGCATTCTCGTGACTCACTTTCTCCCTAGTTCAAACAAAATTCTTTATTTAAAAATTATAATAAGAACTAAGCTTCTCAAACCTTGAAACAAAATAATCCTGGTTAGATTTCTACTGGAAGGAGTGTCACGTTAAGATTAAGTTACCGGCGACAGGAAACACTCAAGGTCGAGTTATTAAAAGCGGCGATTTGAGGTAACGATTCGGCGTTATGGATATGGATATACAAATAGCAGTATTGTCATGCTTTTGAGTAGCACTAAATGACTAGACATACCCGGAAATGCTTAGAAACTAAGTCATTTCCTTGACCGTAAGTTCCTTAAAGTTTTCAATTATCTTGTTTCACCCGTACAACAATCGTGTTTAAATTGTTCTTAATAAGTCATTTCAATTGAAGCAAAACCTTCCGTTTAACCATAATTTAAATATCTCGATGACCTTATGTCTCCACATTATGAAGACGGATGCCACGGTGTTTGCGTGATGGATTTCGGTCCGGTTGCTACGGTTAAAATATCGCCCTAACCACTAACTTGTTTGTCGACAACACTGAATTCAGCTCTTCATTCGTGCGGTTTTGAAAAGCCCTATATTGCTTCAGCCCAATTTCAAAATTACCTGTTTCGGGAAAATACTGCCTATGCCTCTCCAAAGAAACCGCATTTTGCTTTGCTTTGATTTGTTTGTTTGTTTGTTTGTTTAATAAGAAGAAATTGAGTGCTCCCTATGGGTGCCCCCAGTGAGTACTCCCACCCCCTGCCTCATTCGAAAAAAATATTACAAAAATGAAAATGAAGCGTCCACACAATAAAACTCTGCTCGCCTTTTGGCTTAAGACCTTAGCAACAGGTGCTAGAAAGCGAAAACAAATATCCCGTGACACTGCTTTATGAGAGCATGGCTATATATATCTCTTTTGTTCGCTATAATAGGTCAATTATTAAATCCTCCGTGCGTATCTTGAAAACAAAACGTGTCTCAGTTTCTAGAGAAGAATGAATTTGATCACTACAAGTTAAAATGTGTACGACACTGACTATTTCAAATCGACAAACAAAGCCGAAGAGAAAGGAAAATTTTTTCTTTAATATAAAGGAAGTACGCCAGCCATAACGGATTTAGGAGGTGGACGCAGCCATGGATTACTCACGCGTCAACCGAGTCCCATTGAGAGGTGAATCCAGAGACCCCAGAACAATAACAGCACCTGAAATACTGCTGGAGTACAGCTTGGTTATTTTGTTGGTGGGATGTTCTTCACTGGCGTTCCTTTGGTTTAAGCCTCATGGGAACCCAATGGATTCTACATTATTTACTTCTGTTGGTATCAACTACACAGCATGAACTGCACCCACTGACAGAAAATCTACTAACAGGCGAAGAAAGAAAAGAAACCATGCAATTGCTATACAAAAACTGTGTACAGCGAAACATTTAAAATATATCACAAAACTGCGACATGGGAAAAAATGTTTTCCGCAAGATTTTTTAGCCGAAAGACACTTTAATTTACATTTCTGCCGTCACGTGCTTCACGTGGACAATAGGGACCTTAAACAGTCAGGACGGCAACGCTGAAGGAGACGTCGAACAAAATATGAATTTGTCTTTTTAGTTAAAAACGGCGCTACACCCTTACTTAAGCATAAGGTATGTAAGCAGTGTTGAGTTCAAAATGGAATCTTAGATAATTTGTCGCCAGGATTTCCGTTCTCAGACCACGAAAACTTTGGTGATTTCACGTCGTCTTGCAGAGGAAGACTAAGAAATGTACAAAGTTTTAAAACATACGTGCTGAGCTATTTTTCTTCTCATCAGATCTTTTGTTTTTCCACGTCCTTGTTGCGGTAGACGTCGAGGTTAGCTTAGGGTTCCCAGCAAGAGACATAATCCTAAATTGAATGACTGTATCTATATGACGGGATCCATCTTGTATTGATGGTCAAAAGAAAAACTTAGAGCCTTTGTACATACAGAAAAACATGGGATATTAAAGCTTTAAATAAGTTGTTTAAGGTTATGTAGGATCACAGATGTATTTCAAATGTACCGTGAGGTGTAATAAAGAGGAGAGAGTAAATGAAGAGTTTTTTAATGACGAAGGCTGATTTCGATGAACTGCACGTTTCCCCCGAAGCTGAAAAACGACTGTAAGTTACCGTAAGAGGGTTGTTCACGCGTTTTATCTCTTCCACGAGACACAAATTTGGCACTGATTTATTCAAATACGCCATTAAAAGATGATAGCACGACCTTTGAAATGGTCAGATGTTCAAGGCAGAAGTTGTTTGTTGCACGTTCCGTAATGTAGTTGTTCACGTGTTCTCTCATGTGCCAGAGACGTCAGGTCATCAGGGTGGGTCTGTTTTCTTCAAAGACACCGCTACAAGTTAACATCACGACCTTTGAAATGATAAAATATTCAAGGCAGCAGTTGATTGCCCTGGCATTCCTTTTTTTGGTTGCGATCACTTAAACGGGGGTCTTAGGGGTCTTCCGGTCCGTGGATTTGATAATATTCTAAATTTCGTTACAACTAAGAGTATACTCTTGGTTCCAAAATAAAAAAATTGAAAAATTTGAAAAAAAATTGAAAAAAAAAACTACTAGTGGTATGACTGCTTTGTCAATACAACCCAACAAAGTTCGACACAGCATTGTTACATAAGTCCTATGTCCAGCAATTTCAAGTGATTTAGAGATCTTCCCTGACGACGGGTCAAAAGAGATAAATTCTAGGAACTGGAAACCTAATAACCACAAGTGCGCTTAGGGCAAGAGGTTTTGAAACTAAAGTGTAAGAGTTCTGTGCAGGTCAAAGGTGCAAACTCTCATTACCAGTGACGATATATTACGAAATACTACAATAGTAGAACAAAAACCATTCACCAACACTACAAAACTGAGTGCACCAACACTACACAACTGAGTGCACTGTATTTGAAAAACTTTTTATGCGTTCGCAATTAATGGATTACCCAAAGCCTTTAAACTATTTATTAGTTTGACTTAGACAAACGAAACACAATGCTCCTTTCCAGGAACAAAAGGAACAAATTATTAGACGAGCTTTAAATATTACACAATAAATTTTACAACTCCAGCTCAAAGTCATAGCTGAGGAAACGGACGGACATTCACAAGTTGAAAGCCGTGCTTCTTATAGAACCGATGAGCATCTTTATGCGCACTGGTCGTATCCAAGAAAATTCTATCATAATGGTGAATTCTTGCGTAGTGCACTGCCCTCTCGAGCAGTTTCGTTGAAACACCCTTCCCCCTGTATTCAGAAGAAACATACATTCTTTTTAACTCGGCAATCTTGAGTTTATAGCTCTCCTTTTCAAAAAGTCCAATCATACCAACAATTTTGTCACGCCACACAGCCACCCAAAAGTGACTACCGCTTTGGATCATATAAGAGTTCTTGATGTTTTTTACATCTTCCTCCAAGGATCTATTTATGAATTTCCAGCCTTGGTTGAAGGCATTAAGGTAAAATATTAACATAGTAATGAGAACAATTCCAAGATATATGCAGATAGTGTAAAAGGACCATGAAAAAGCCAGGGAGAGGAGTGTGAAGACACTCTCGACCCCAACGTATGCGCAATATCTTGGCAAATCCATCTGCAAAGCGTCTTTTATCCATGTCTCACAGCATTTCGTGAAGATTTCTTGGCAGATTTGCTGGTCGAAACTTTGAAAAGAGCGTATATTAACATCGTCTACAACTGATTGATCTCCAATTTGGTTTTCTCCGGGTCTAATCCTAAGATGACAAATTAAATTTATTTGCAAAGGTAAGCTTAGTATATTAAAGAACCAAATGCAAGTTATGGTAACAGTTATCACTTCGACTGTGAATTTATGAAAATCATATATGTGAACTGCGGATAAAGACTTAAATATGAAAGCGATCTTCGCAGTAATGTTCACTACTTGAGCAGTAGTGAAAATAAGGCGTGAAAAAAATTTAGGCCTGTACGCGAATTGAACTAATGACCTTTGCGATACTGGTGAAGTGCTCTACCAGGGAGTTGATCACTATGTTGGTTCCGAAAAAACCCGTGAAGTAATTCATCACTTCACGGGATATCCCGTACAGCCCTAAATTTTTTTCAGGCCTTATTTTCTCTACTGCTCAAGTAGTGTACATTACTACGAAGATCGCTTTCATATTTAAGTTATCACTTTTTCGGCTTTTGTCTCAATTAAAATTCAAACCGATTTTAGCCACCATTAAAAGGCGACCAGTAGTTACAAGGGAAATTTTATTTGTAAGGATGAAGCAAAATCCTCGTCACATGAAATAATCAAATATCTATTGAGAATTATGAAAAAAACGCAATTAGAAAATGGCAAGTTGTGAGGTATATAAACTGCTTGGGTCAGCGTTATGGAATTTCCATGATAACTTACTCCTCAGCTCAGCAGCTATAAATCTGTAGTTTTTAGCACCACAACAACTAAAGTCAGCGATCCCATTTTCAAATTGAATTTAACTGATTAAACATCTGTTTACGACCAAAAATTGCATAAATTAACGTCAAAGGTCACACACTTCAGAGGGAGTGACCACGAATCTTTTACTGAGGACAAAGTTTTTTTGTCGCCAAACATAGTGCTAAAATAGGTCTAACCTTTAATGGTATGTTTGTCGACAAAAAATATTGCCCATCGGAGATATTTGCAATTAAAAAACCTTAATTTTTCTTGTTTCGAATAGTTGCGTGACACAGTAAATACGGCTCTAAATTAACAGCAGTTAAATTACCCCAACTTTCGAGTTAATTGGACAAAATAAGATTAAAATCCTTCTCGTTCTGTAAGGGTGAGAGAGATTCGTTAGAAGTGCATTTCCTAGCTGATTAATTCTTGAATTACTTAGTGACTTTCATAAATCAATTGATGAGAATTGATTAAGCATATTACGTTATCGAACGTAAATGAAGTCTCCCTACATTTGATACTGTAATTTGCTCCTTTTTTCGGAATTTAAAGTGAAGGGATCCAGGGTCTAACTGAGAATTGCTCCACCCTAGCGAAAACAGATTTGATAACAAGCTAAAGATGATTCCACCGGTAGCTTTATAAAAAGTCCGTGGTTTCAAGCAAAATTTGCATATAGTAACGCCGTCCAATATCGATGTAGAGCAATGATAGTATTATAATATTTTTTTGCCAGTGCCTTACTTTAGTAACTTCGAGGGAAAAAAAATTTCGTATGCTTAATCTTTGAAGGTGCATGTCACATTTATTACGCAATTCATGTGGCAGCCAGTCAAAAACACCTCATTTCAATTTGCAAACGTGTATAGATTAGCTTTCTTAAAATTCGAGGAAGTGTTGCAGCTTCCTTTAAAATCATTTTGACATCTATCATTACAGTATAACTTCGCGAGAGACCAAATTAGACTGTAATTAGGTGGCTTCGGTTTTTCGATATCATGAAATTATTACGGTGAATCGTTTAAGACATATTCAACCTTACATGCAATGCTTGTCCACCATTTTTACTTCAATCGTAACTCCTTAGTACAAGTTGCACATCCACTTAGACTCGATTATCAATTGATATTTTGGCCGGGAAATAACAAAGGGAGTCAAAATATTAGAATAGTAACCTTGATCTACCATTTGAAAATAAATTACTTCAAATTTATATGTTCGAGATATCAAATTAAACAAGTCCACATTGTGCGATGAACACAAGGAGTTCTGTGTCTTGACAATGTTCAATATCGTCTGGTAACTTCGCAGAATAAATGAATCACATTTCAGTAAATGTTATAAAATTCAACATACCTCCACGAAGCAATGTCATTGACCATTTTCCTAGAGCTCCTTCCCGATACGGTCGGCGATCCAAACGACAGTCCGACCTCTCTGCGTTAACAGAGAGGAAAATCAGTACTCTTCTCCGGCTACGTGACTGTTGACAATAAATTCACATAATTAGCCGCTGGACATGTAACCTCGCAGGATTGTTTTTTTTTTTTTTTTTTTTTTTTTATTTATTTGTTTTTTATTTCAGTGGGGGAAGGGGGGAAGGGAGAGGGAGAACTCTTGTAGGTGGAAAAGGTAAGCATTTTAACGAAATTGCAGCTTTTAATCCATTTATCAAATAAAATGAAGTTCAAAATATTAAAAACTTAAGGATTCTTGTTTTCGCGTTGTTACGTAGTCTGTGCCATTATTGTCACACAACCTTGTCACGCATGGTGTCGATATGCCTAAATTGTTTCTTTTGTTTTTTGTTTTTTTTTTTGATATATGAGAACCTTTTTAATAAGAACGTTTTGGCTGAGATAAACTACTATTTTAAAAACATACTAAGAGCTTAGTTAAGAACGACTATTCTGCCCATATTTTACTTTTGTGAGAAGTATAAATAAAGGTAAATGAAATATAAAACTGTGATCTGACAGGAAAATAAACTCAAATACCTAGGGAAATTTTTGACATTGATTTATTGAAATACTAAACCACACAACTTTAAGAACATATTAAGAACGTTTTCAGGCAAAAATCGCAATAAAGCATAAGAACGTTCAGCCTCAGTCCCAAAATTAGATGTTTACATTAAAATACATATATATAAAAAATTATAATAATTAAAAAAATGATAATAACAGTAACAAAAAGAGTGTGTTCGAGCTCAGCTTTCCCGCAAGCCGAACATCAACCTTACATTATAATGCTCACAAATGCAACTACGTCGATGAACGGCGAAAAATAAATCAACCTTTAAATTCCAGGATTAAGTAGAGCTGTAGAATGCAAATCTTATAGCGATTTAGAAATTTAGCATTAATCAGCAATTTTGCACACTCAGAGGATGATATTGTTCCGCATGGAACATTTAAAATTTAAAGTTTTTAACGTAACAAGTTACTTCTTTTTCAAGTTTCTCTCGCTTTCTGCTGATTCAGTAAAACTCGACTGGAAAACTATCTGGTATTCTTGGACAAATTTTATTCAAAGAGACATTTCTGTGAAAAAAAGAAGAGTGCCTATTGACGAAAAGAGTTTTTCAATGTCCCTCAATGAATAAGGTCGTTCACGCGTAAAATAAAAGAACAACCACTGATAAGACCACCTCCCCCCTACACTTAAACAAAGTTCAGCACAGTCTTGTTCCATAGGCCCAAGCATCTGGTGAAGCGTCAAGTAAAGCGATCTGGCGATGTTCCCTAACGACAGGTCAAAAGGAATTAATTCTAAGCACTGGAACTCCTATAAACCTCAAGTACTTTCCAGGCCAGAGGTTCCACTTTAAGTGACCGTTCATCACAGGTGGAAGATAATAAAAACAGGCCGTTGCGACTCAGTAAAGGGTGACCACGACCGCTCAATAAAGGTGACCGCTTAGTAGAGGTGAAAATTACAGTAATTGAGGAGAAACAAATTTTGGACTTTGATAACCGACACGCCTAACACAGGGTGAACGCTCAATACAGGGTCGACTGTGTTAGTTTGACTTAATCAAAGAGGAAATGATGCATTTTACTGTAGGTACAATTTATTTGATGGTCCACCTTTTCGTTTTTTTTCCTTTAATTTTTTCTTTAATTTTCTCTCTCTCTCTCTTCCTTTCTTGCGATGCAAGAGCCACTTACGGCAATGCAATATGACCCAATGCCTGACAATTTCTCAAGATTGAGACGAGCTTCAATATCACATTTTAAATTTTACAACTCTCGCTTAAACTCGCAGATTTGCAGGTATAAAATATATTGAAATATCGATTTAAAAAAATCAATAAAAGCCTTCCTTCTGTTACGTCTTTGTTTCTTTTGGTTTGTTTGTTTTGTTTTGTTTTTTTGTTTTTTATTATTGTTTCTTTTTTCAGCTTTTCTCGTTTGTTTGTTTCTTTGTTTGTTAATTTTTTTACGGGCTCAAGCGGTGCGCATGGGATGGATAAATCCAGGTTACAAAGGTAAACAAAGACGACACATTTCTTGACCATTTCCTTCATAAAACTTTATTACCCATGGAATGTGTTTCATCGCTCGTACATGCATCTTATGCTGCATCAGTAGGCCCTACAATTTTCGAAACGAAAAGCACTGGTTAAAGAAAGGGGGAATTCGTACACTTCCATAGAAAAGGCAAATAATGTATCGAAACATCTGAAAATACACAGTTATGAAACATTCGTTATCGTGGCTTTTGAGGTGACTTTTGTATGAGGACCATTATTAAAAGGTTACGTGTTTTTTATTCCAACACGTTCGTTCCTTTTTCTTATGATACGTTCTCAGTCAGTTGCAGGAGCAGCGATGATACGAGATGATTTACACTGCGTAACTTGAAAACAGCTGTTCAGTGATAGTTCAAGCCATCAGAGCATTTCCTACGTAGCTGTTCCAATATGAGAAGCGTGGTTGTTATTCACATTATCCTCTTTCTGTTCTCAATTTCTAGAGTTCTCCGGAGAAATCCTCCTTGACTCCGGAGTATGGAATTCCTATGTCATCATGGCACTAGCCTCTTTTCCTAAGGCTTTATTCCTAGTTTGAAACTTTGTGTCTCACGAGACAAACTGCAAGGGAAATCCCCAGGACTATGACAAGCATGGCGAGTTCTAGAAGGACCTCCGGAGCTCCGTATAGTCTCTCAAGTCGAATTCGGCCTGTCGTAGAACGGATGTCAAATTGCCGTTCAAAGTCTTCGGTATTGGTTCGTGTTGTGCGATCTATGGCTACCGGCACGCTGTGCTTTAGACGAGTAGTGTCCATAACTACAGTTAGAATATCCTCGCTACTCTATCTCCTCTTCAAGTTCGGTTTTCAATCTTCTTGCTCCAGGATATGCGACTTTCTTAAGTATGTTACCCTTAGACCGCAAAGAGAGATCCACTTGCGTCAGTGCCCCGTGCCAGTGACGTGAAAATATGTAATCCCTCTCAAAAATGATCTTGTTTCTGGCGATCGCGTCTGGAGGTGCCAAGATACACGTTATTTTTGAATCGCTCCCCACTTACGACCGAAAAGGTCGGTGTAAGGTCAAGTTCAGTTATTTTCAACTAGGTGTTTCGGGAATTTTCGAGGAAGCAACACGCAAGCAATCGCCATGCACGCTAACATAAAGAAAGCCTCTCCCACGTTTTGTCAGTGTGAAAGGGTTCTTGTGTCGCTACACTTATCTCCATAACCCTGTTTTCAACATCAAAACGAGAAACACGAATTTTCTATGAGTGTATTTTCCTTCAACTGTAGATTGATCTTTCTTGGGTCCCAAGATTGCTTGACGTCATCATCACCATGGATACGACAAAGGTCTTGCAATACGGGAAGAAAGGAGGTTACGAGCAGAAATGAGATTACACCGATGATTGGTGAGTGATGTGCATTTAAAAATAAAAACATAGCGATAACTTTGACACATGTTTCGCTGCAGCTTCGATCAATCAATACTCATTGCAGAAATAATTCTCAACTACTTCGCAGGACAAACTTTTCCGCTGAAACTGAAGTTTTCTTTGGCAATGTTTCAAGAAGTTTGGGTTCTTGGTTTCCTTATTTGTCTAAAGGGATATAATTTAAGAGGTGAAGTGACTAGAAGGCATAATGCTTTCCGGTCTCCCGCCGGAAAACCAAAATAGACACTAGCAGGTATTCATAGCTGTGATTACCCTAAGTTGCGAAATAATATCAAACTGTCCTATTAATCCTGACTTAGAGGTAAACCAACTCTTTTGTTGATGTGAAACTTGACGCAGGTGAAGCCTAAAAAAATCGTAAGATAAAGCTTGTTAATATCATGAAGGGAATGAATGATGAGCCGTAAATACATTCATTTCTTTAAGTGTGTTGCAAGACTTTCGTTACAGAGCTGTTGTGAACTTGTGATGACCTTCCTTCACAACTAGTCGCGGTTCTACTTCGGTGCATGAGCAAATGTAAACAAATCTCACTGGGTTTCCTTAAGCCGAGTTAACATTTTTCCCAAATTTTCATCAATGTAATAATCCTCCAGTCACCCCAATTCAACTCGTGTCTGATTGAACATATCCCAAAGGTATATGTGAAAATTACATGAAAGAAAGAATCGGTATTACTTCATTCCAAGACCGAAATGTAACAGCTGACTCTAAAAGAAATAAAGACCTAGATGAAATAAAATTTGGCTCTACCTGTAACAAACTCGTGAGTGTGAAAACTGATTTGGACTATAACATATAATAAATTCGTGAAAGTTGACAACAATGGAACATAAATGCATTAAGGTTAGACTAACGTCGTCAAGCAATGCTAAAAACTAGGCAAAATTACTCACAATTTCTAACAGCTAACAAGAACGAGAGTGATGCCTTTTTTGTTAAATTTCTATCGTTTCATGTAGCAGGTGCGTGTCATTTACAAACTCACTTTTAATTCCTTTAATTTTGTTCTTACTCCTCTTTGAGCCGAAAAGAATTCAAACTATATGTTTTGACTTCTTTTACGAAGACGGCCATGAACTTACACTGGTAGGAAGTTGACGCCACGTCAAAATCAGTCACATGAAAGTGAGTACTAGAGTAACAGATGGTGTGACAGACCACGTGGTCGTTGTCAAGTCCAGTGTGTTACTTCATGACGTGTCACTTACGTTATTAATGACGTCATTGTAACGTGACATCTTAATGTTGTCACACTTGAGTCATTTAAACGTTGTCGTCCTCTAGTCATTTGATTGACCATGAATATGATCATTGACGTGACTGACAACGTGGTAGATTACGTGACAGATCACGTGGTTGCATCGGTTAACGACGTGTTAATTGCGTTACTGTAATAATCATTGTAACATATACTTCCAAGCTTTGGAGTTTCAAGCCCAAGGTTAAAACTGGGACTTAAAAACATTTGAGTCTGCAACTCCTAACCAATGGGTTGGTGTCACTGCAGCCTGTCGTAAGGGGCTAAGTTTAACAAGAGTTTTTCTGAAAATTCAGCTCTTCCTATATCTCTCGTCACCTTCCCTCTCTACTTCCAAAACTCAAAACCAAGTACAATGCATTTCGAATTTGACTATTTATTTCCATCCTTTAAATTCTACTTTGCGCATAAAATGTATCATAAAAAAAGTAGGAAGTAATTACTAAGAACATTTCTTCTGACATTTCTCCATAACTACAAAGAAAGTTTTCGACATATCAACCCCCAACACCAGAAACATCTTTCTTTCGTAATTTTGATGCCATATTCTGTCTTATATTTACTAAAAAGTTCCCGAAAATTCCCTAGTCATTGAAAATAATAAAATTTTCCGCTTTGCAATGGACTCATAATAATTATGTAATCGCATTTTGTTAATACAATCCAGGTGCACACTAATATCGTACTTCTATACTTGCCACATATAAAAATGAAAACAAACCACTTATATTTAAACTAAGATAATAGTAAGGATTATGTATCCATCACCAGGAAGGTCTAGCTTTTATTTTAAGCCGGAAAAACAAAATCACCCAGCTTCGTCTCCACATGAATTGTCTCAATCCCCATAAAGCAGCTTAATCAATTATAGTATTTCATATTTTTTTCTTGGAGGGGGGAAGCATCGAAAACTGATTTCATACTCGACGTTTTGGAACAAACAGTTCAACAAGATCGCAAAACCTTAAAGGGGGCACTGATATGACAAGAAGGAACAAGGATGGAAGAAGATGAAGAATCTTCACGGGAATTATCTAGAGTTAATTGTTAGTTGAACGTGGTCAGGAATTTTTAAATCTCGCATACTGAGACTATGCAGTTTGGCTTCTTTTCTGTAGCTTGGCCAATGGCCAACAATACCTACTCTGTGTACTCACTTATCACAGCTTATTTGAAAGTACAGGAAATTTCGATCAAGTGGGAGAAATGAAATCCATTCTCAGTAAAGACTTGATGAAGCTATCTATGCCGAATCTGCGCCAAGAGGATGGAAGGCCTTCATGTTGTGGAAAGTAATGCGAGTAGAGGAGGTAAGGTAGCCCACCTTAATCTAAGTCTTTCACTTTTTGAAACGTAATAATAATATGAGTAAAATAATGCGAATGAATGCATGTTTTTTACCACCTAACTCCAAATGCAAGACCACCACAATAGCTGAAGGAATATGTTTGAGTTTTAGATTTTATTACTGAGTTATGCGCTTTGAATTCAGGATGAGAAAATTGTCATATATCAATAAAAACACCATTTGCTTTAATAATTCGACGCTGCTGAAAACTTAGATATGGTCAGAATTAATTAGCTTACCTCTCCGTTCTTTCATTAAGGAGTGTAGCAAGGACATTCACCTAAATATTGATGACAAGTTAAATCCAAATCCATAGTGGACAGTTTAGAGGAAGAAATAACAACCAGGGTCATAACTCGAGTTCAAAGCAATAGTGTTTCAGATCGCTAAGAAGCTTTTTAGGATAAGGAATAGAGGTTCTGAGTTTGAAGCCGTATTTCTTGTACAGTCGAATGGCTGGTGTTTGTGCACTAGTGGTGGTAAGCACAAGCTTCTGAAATTTCTGATCCTTTGCGAATTTGATCAGTTCGTCGAGTAGTTTCTTAGCGATTCCCATTCTTCTACAGGCTGGTGATACAGACATCCTCTGAAGTTCTGCCACTCCTGGTTTGTGACTTTCCTTGTGAATAAGTCCAACCATTCCCACAACTTTACCATTCCACTCAGCCACCCACATGCGACAATTTTCACTAGACATGTAGCATCTATCGATGTCCTTCAGGTCCGTTGCCAAACAAGAATCGATGAAGTTCCAGCATTCCATATACAGCATTGAATACAACGAGGCCGCCAATACGACGCAAGCAATCATATAGAGGAGAAAAAAGCTTACGATCCACTTGATTGCGAGGGCAAGAACGAGAACAACGACGCTGCATGTCGATAGAATCCAGATATATTTCGGGAAAACAACGCGTGCTACTAGGCTGATCAACTGTTCCATTCCATGGGTAAAAATCTCTCGGCAGACGTGAAGGTCTGTGTTTTTGAATTTCCTAATCAGGACTTCATTACCACTTCTAGGTAAAGCGAAAGATTGCAGCTGTGCATTCATCTTACCAGTGAGCATAAGTTGGTGCTGTCTATCAGTCTATTAAAGAGACAAGGTAAATTGGCTTAATCTTGAAATGAAATATTTTGTGCCATTTACTTACTTTGTATCAGTTTTTCTCGCTCCTAAGGCAGTTTATTTGTCAATTCACTCCATGCGATCAGTTGATAGCCGGCTTGCAATATAGCGGCTAGCGGAATTGAGCATGCAATCCTTCCGAAGGGTAAGCTGAGTGAAGGAAGTTGACGAGGACATCCATTGTTTAAAAAGTCTTCTAACAAGAGGGATTTCAGAATCGATCTTTCCACTTTAAATCTTAAATCAGTCCAGATTTAACTTCTTTACAATACATTACACAATTATTTGCCCGTGGAATCTGCAAAGCTTAGCTTAAAACCTTATAACTTCAGTTCACCCCCTATTGCGATGGCTGCTTTTAACTTGGTTACCGATCCACATACATTCAATGGTGAAGACAATAAATCGTGTGTTTTTTTTCTCTCAATGGAAAACCTTTTCTCGTATGCTGATATGTATCCACAGAATATCATATTTAAGATCCAGTTGCCTTTCCACAAAATACTTCCAAGATATCCAAATGGAAATTAATCTAACGATGTTTCGCCCCGCTGCTCTAGCAGTCTGTAAGAGTTGTGTGACTAAGCTCCAAAGGTTTGAAAAATATATCTCAGCCAGAACTCTTCTTGCGCATAAATGTGCAAAAAACAGAGTTACGGTCAATAGTTTAGTCCTAAAATGATACACCAGATACACCAGAGACAAAAAGAATATACTGAAAAATGACTCACTTTCTACGTTGTCTTCAGCAAAAAAAGCTTCCCTCTCTCGCCTCCTGTACCAAAATCAGCTAGCAGAGCAGAAGTTTACGTTAAAGTGAACGTAAAGGAAATTAGTTTCGGATATCAGGTGATTCGATGAGGATTTTCTTGTTCTAAACTTGTACGTGCTGGTATTGTAATTGAATATAGGCTGGCAACAATTTACCTTTGATTGCCTAAAATAACTTCATGCCATTCATACTTTTATCAGGTATCAAAGAACTCAACATCGTAGAAACCTCCGCTAAAAGCATAGGAGCGGTTTACGTGCGCTATAACATGTCTTTCACACGGTGGTTTA